TCGCTTAAGCCCATTAGCTTCCACCACTGCCAGGGTTGCCAATCGTGCAAGCTTCTTTCGCCTATACTACCGTTAACCGTATTCATTTGCTTTTGTGCCATTTCCAATTTCGTTTTGCTGACAGTCATTGCTCTGTGTATCACTTCACTGTTGAAGAAGTGTTGTGGCAATATTTCATAGATCGGTGGCAACGCAAAGATTTCACAGTCTTTACGATGTCTAATCGTCAAGTCGAGTGCGTAAACGAACATCCCAGGATTAACGTTTGTGCGCGCCCAGCACACATTCCGCTTAAATAAGGTCCAGTCTTTGGTATATGCCAGTAATTTGTATAAGCCCAAAGCTTGCTGGTGATGTGTGTGCACAATCGCGCTAAAGAAGTCATTTCGTGATAGTAAGCGTTGTTGTTGCACATCCTTTACGAAGCGTTGCATGTCACTGTCGAATTTCTGTCAAAAAATTTGATTTTTGTTGTGTCAATGTTGTCAAAGAAAGAATCTCACCTTATATTGTGTCTCATCATTGACAAATGCAACGTCCTGGCACTCGGCCAGCGCCACTGGCTCCTGTACATGCCACACGATTTCGAGTAAAAATTTCTGCGCTTCCAATAAGAAATNTCGCTTAAGCCCATTAGCTTCCACCACTGCCAGGGTTGCCAATCGTGTAAGCTTCTTTCGCCTATAGTACCGTTAACCGTATTCATTTGCTTTTGTGCCATTTCCAATTTCGTTTTGCTGACCGTCATTGCTCTCTGTATCACTTCACTGTTGAAGAAGTGTTGTGGAAATATTTCATAGATCGGTGGCAACGCAAAGATTTCACAGTCTTTACGATGTCTAATCGTTAAGTCGAGTGCGTGAACGAACATGCCAGGATTGACGTGTGTGCGTGCCCAGCACACATTCCGCTTAAATAAGGTCCAGTCTTTGGTATATGCCAGTAATTTGTATAAGCCCAAAGCTTGCTGGTGATGTGTGTGCACAATCGCGCTAAAGAAGTCATTTCGTGATAGTAAGCGTTGTTGTTGCACATCCTTTACGAAGCGTTGCATGTCACTGTCGAATTTCTGTCAAAAAATTTGATTTTTGTTGTTTCAATGTTTTCAATGAAAGAAACTCACCTTATATTGTGTCTCATCATTGACAAATGCAACGTCCTGGCACTCGGCCAGCGCCACTGGCTCCTGTACATGCCACACGATTTCGAGTAAAAATTTCTGCGCTTCCAATAAGAAATATTCTTTGTCGGTTTTCTCGCTGTTAACAGCTTTGCAGCAGTTAAAAGCTACGGTGCTGCAGAGTAAAAAAAATAGCAGCCGCATTTTTTGATACCCACCGCTTTATTAACTTTGAAGCGCAACTGTCGCTCGCCGTTGCATTGAAGTGAGCTTTTATAGCTACATGCTTATCAACAAATTGCACGGCCTTTCCACCGTAGGTCTTTATTTTGTCACAAAAGTCAAGGTTAGCATTATTTTCTAAATTTTGTTCAAACTTCTTCATGCTTTAGAAACTAAATAGACACATAACTTACTGATAAGATACGGCGCCTAAGCAGATATGTTCTGCTTTCCAGCGTCTTTGTTGTATTGATGCTAAATCTGCGAACCTATGTGCTAAAATAGAAGCAAAGACAACCGCAGCAGTGTTGATTATAGGTGTGATGGCTATTCGTTGGCACATCGGTTCAAATGATAACTACAAAAAAGCCTCAAACGAAACAAAATATTAATTGTTTTGAAGCCTGGAAGGTGCCTGTAAACCGTTCTATTAATTTTTGATATGAAAATTATTCTCATAAGATTCACCAGTCATTCTTGTAGAATGCTTTCATGGTTGTAGTTGGGATATGCTTGTGAAACCAACCGACCACGTTCAACTTTATACTTTTTATGTAGTAGTGAAAGTGTAATATTTTCTTTTCGACCAAATAATAAAATTTCATATCTGGAAAATTTCTTTTTTAAGCTCTTTAGTGCCTGATACAGTCAGCCATCCAGCCTTTTTATTTAAATTATATTGTATATATTATTCTCAGTTTTGTTTTGCTAAACTAGAAAACCAACAAATCAGCGCTAAGGAATCGCTTTACTTTTCTACATCACAACCCATAAGTACGCGGCTTTTACAGCTCATTAAACGGCACTCGCTTGCTGTAAGAAATAATAACGAAAAACCAGTTTAAATGCACAAAAATATGCACAGTTGTTAACACAAATTTTTCAAAACCTAAAAAAATACTTGCATATAATAAACTGCTGGCGAGATAATAATAAAAAGTAATAATTTCCGCGCAATATGACCGTTGGTCATAAATATTCAAATTATACGCGTTGCAATTAAAGTGAGAACAGGATGCTGCCGCAGGGCTGAACTAGGGCAACCGTCTTACTGTGAACGCATCAATCAAAACATTTTCCACACTTCCTTTGTTGCGCTCCGCTCCTATTTATATTTTATACGTGCGCACTATATTAGATGCGAGCCTTTTAAGCACAATTAAAGCGGTTGTAAAAAGCTGTCCTTATTCTTTATTTTTTCCTATCTTATTTTTGGCTTGCACACTCCTTGCTTGCCACATTTGCATACGAAAGGCATACAGAAGCTGCTCAAGTGGTAGCGTAATATTTCAATTTATTCTTTGTTAGTATTTTTTCTGCTTTTCTAATGATCACTCGGTGTCCTTCTTCCTGGAACTGCTGTCCATATGTGACGCATAAATCGCCGATATCTGTCCCATTAGGGTTGCTTATGCCACGCATTAAGTTGCTCAATAACTGTTTCTTAACTAAATGGTGTTCCATTAATAACACTTTATACGCTTATTTGCTTAAAGCGGCTGTTGACCCTCCTCATTTTGTTATTACACCAACCAGTTACACGTATCTAGTAACACTATCCAGTAATCCTTTACAATTGACGGCTATCCGCTGGCGATTTACATATCCGTTTCGATTATTGAGCACAACCGCAGCATTCAAACGGTCATCATTAGTAGCCTGGTCCATTACGATTTGGGTACATCGCTCTTACAAAACCGCTTTTTTACTGTAGTTGTATCATTCTAGTAATTACAGTGCTTTCTGTCGAGCGACAACGTGTTAATGTACTCACTTCCATATGAATATAAGTCCGTCCGTCCATCCGTCCATCCGCCTATCCCATGTCAGGGTTGACACTAATGTGCCGCATTACAAAATGCTAAGCAATTTAATTTAATGTGTCTACTTTTTCTCAGCTAACTAGTACAACAACTCGGCGGCGCAGCATCTGTGGCAAGGCATCCAGCTAGCGGTCGAGGCAGTCACTCATTCGCCTTGTACATACTCCTCGGCTTCATACTCTTCACTACTTCCAAGATTTATTTAAATTTGCATAAATTTCCTTTGCCGTTGTTGTTTGCCCCTCACTACAAAACTCATCGGTTGCAAAGGGTTAACGCGACACCCCTTTGGGGTAACTGTTGTTCTTATTGTTGTTAACAAGTTGTTCCGTTTGCTTGAAACATATTCTCGATGCCGAAATTTCAGCGGCTCGCAAGCGTGTGAAACGCAAATGTGTTGAAGTTTTTACCTCCTCCTTTGAAATTCCAATACAGGACGCAGAAGAGTCGCCGCAAAAGGGGTTGATCACACGCTAAGGAAAAGCCGCAATTAACTTTTTTGTAAATTTCATTTAAATTTGTATTTTTTCTGTGGTTTTCGGCTCATTTAATTCGGTTTTACGCTAGTTGATTTCATTAAAAATTTGGATTTTATTCTAGAATACACTTCAGATGTTTCGGACATTTTTTACGCTATTGTTCTATCAGTTAAAGTTTGAGGTGAGGAGTCTAACTATCAAAAGTCATAAATTGTGTTTTAAAGCGCAAAAAAAAAAACAGTTAACAAAAAAAAAAAATTAACTTCGGCTCCAGCGAAGCTATACTTGTAATATCCTTAACATTTCAGTTTGTATGACAGCTATATGATATAGAGATCCGACATCACTACAGACAACTGAACAGCTTCTTGGTGAGACATGGCTAAATCGACTCAGCTCGTCACGCTGATCATTTGCGTACATATAATACATTATAGGATCTCCATTCCAAATGGCATTATTTATTTAGTTTATATAAATTATATGCAACTCTATTCCATAAGTTCAAAGAGTACTTATTTAGTGTTCCTAATGGACTTAGCAGCTAAATTGAGTCACGAACATGCTGTCTCTTTAACTGTTCATAAATATATAAATAAATAAATAGCCAATTAGTAATGCCTCACGAAAACAATGTTTGCAGTCCATTTGCATGCAACATATGCTATTAATTGATATTTCATCAAGCAAATATGAAAACAAACTAGAATAGACACTAAGCGGTAGCAAATAAAGTAAATACAAAAAAAAAAAAAACATAGTAAACAAATTTTCTAAAATATTTCCCACTAAAAGATTTTTGTCAAGCCGTCGCATTAAGAAATTCCACATAAATGGCAAGAAAATGTGTTAAGACAACAATAAGTTATCGCACAGCCAATTATAAACTTTTATGATTTGAAAAGCAAAGCGGCGTGTAGCATGCGAGACTTGCCACAGTGAGCAAACATCAAATAGCTACTTATATGGATTAGTTGAATATATTAAGCAATAAGTGTGTTTGTAGTTGTTGTTATTGTCTATATTTGTTTTTAGTGATTCGACATAAAGTGAAAAATGTCTTTATTTACATACACATGTCTACATGTGTGTGTGTGTGTGCTCTTGTATGGAAGGAAAACTGAAAAAGCTGTTTGTTGAAGAAAATTCTCATAATTCACACTAAAAGGCTTTTTTAATGAATTTATAAACAAATATTACACAAACAAATGTTTATACATATACATATATATATATATAGGTGTATACATATTTATATGCATGTGAGTGTTTGTGAAAAAGTCGAGTAAATTGTCTATATTGCCACTGTTGACTGAAAAGCTGCGCTGTCGCTGTAACTATTTGAAGTTTGTGTGTAGGTGTATACATAAAAGCATACATAAGTACATATAAACATACATACATATATCACATGTTGCAAGTAGCATAAAACTAGTATTTAGAAATTTTCCAACTTCGCCGACTTGACAGTAAGTTGTCAATTTCTACGAAAAATGGATTAAAGACACTTGAAAGTAGAAGAAAGTGATAATCATTTCAACGGGGGTGGTGAGGTGTGTAGGCACATATGGTAGACAGAATAATATGCGGCGGTATTTTACACTATGTGGCAGGCAAACATAAATATGTATGCGTATAAACAAAACAGCTCGTGCGTACTTGCACTTAGCTATATAAAGTATATAGCCTACAAGTGGCATGCAGCAATCGGTTGCATGTTGAAAATTCATACTAATGAAAGGCGGAAGATTACATTTAAGCATTAAGCAGCACTTTTTTCTATGTAACTCGACAACATTTAATTTGATCTTTGCAGGGGGCGACAAAATATGGCCCCCAGCGGTGCACTCTACACACACATACGAACACATGTGTGCATTGTAAGCAATAGAAATGCACTAGTATGTGTGTAATGGCACTTAGGTCGGCGCGCACCTACTAAGTTGTGTGGTGTTGCGCTGCTGGATAGGCATACTGGAAAGATGTCTGCCCCCTTTGATGTGCCATAAAATCAAATAAAGTCATGCAGCCTGGCGTATATAAAGTCGTGAAGTGTCTGATAAGCGAAAAAATAGGGGGAAGTGGCGTTCAAATAAGAAAATATTGAAATATGCCACAGAGCGCTGCATATATGCTTATGTTTGTCTGTGGTATTTTTTTTTTTATTAATTTAATGGCAGATTGTATTGTCTGCTGGCAAGTTAATTAAAGTTAACTTCGGTTGCATCGCAACTTGGATACCCTTCACAGGTGCATTTCTTATAACAACTATATGTATAACTAAATCTGCAAATGTAGCCGGATAACGGTTTGCATCCAATTAAAAAACGCTTTGATAGATCTTTCTTTCGGTTTAGCTGGTCACACTAAGCATTTATATGCTTTATAGGGTCTCCGATGTTTCCCTCTGTGTGTTACAACTCTCGTGACGAATTCAAATTCTTCGTATATGAGGAGATAGAGTAATCTCAGCACTTCATTATTGACTGTCTAACTTGTATAAAGCATAGGTAAAAACACCTTGAGCTACGAAACATAGTTAAATAGTTTAGCTCATCAATTGTAACTGTACACCGTGATATCTTGAGTGTGATGCTTGACTCGAACAATCGCAACTGTCTAACTAAGAGCTTTCGGCGGTCCAAAAAAAAATCGCATCTTAGAACCACATCAGCATGGAGCGAAATAACCTATTGA